ATTTCTCCAGTTTTAGCTTCGCTTCTTTGGCTCCCTGTCAAATTCAGAACATAATTCCAAATCTTCTGTAGTTATTTGGCACTATATAAATAAACTGAATTGAATTCAATTGATTTCTAAGGGGCAGCACGGTGGCACAACTGGTAGAGCTGCTGCCTCTCAGCGAGCAGGTCCCTGGTTCAAATTCCGGTTGAGGGGCCTTTCTGGGTGGAGTTTGCATGTTCTCTCCGTGCATGCGTGAGTTTTCTCCGGGTACTCCAGTTTCCTCCCACAGACCAAAAACATGCATGTTAGGCTGATTGGTATCTCTAAATTTTCCCTAGGTGTGAGTGAGTGAATGGTTGTTTGTCTTTATGCGGCCCTGTGATGGACTTGCGACCCGTCCAGGGTGTATCCCGCCCCTAGCACAGTGATTGGTGGACATGGGCACCGGCGACCCCGTGACCCAAAATGGAAGCAGCGGGTAAAAGATAATGGATGGATGGATGATTTCTCAGGCCCTAAACATCCTCAGGAGCTCTGTTAAATACATAATCAAGAAATGAAAGGAATATTGCGTGACTCATTGAGCTAACAAGGACCAACAGGACTCATTCTTCAGCTTTACAGCCTCCCTCATCTAGGGTGTTCACCGCCGGTTTAATGATGTCCGCCCTGAGAAGCATTGACAATCTTGCAACCATAGCTCATGGCAGCCTCCTCAACAAAGGAGGTATGGACCATGGTCCATTCTGTCAGGGGGTCCCAGCAAAACCTCACAACACGATTGGGAGTCAGAGTACCAAGGCCCCCGCTTTTGGCTGCCACCCATGGTACCATGCTCTTATGACCCCTCCTGCAAGTGATGGGTCCACAGACAAACCCAAGAAACTCATTCAGGCTGAGCTCAACTGAGCTCCGTGGGTAGAGGTGTTCAATCACTAGGCGTTTGACAATGGGCTGCTCCCCCCAGACTGGCTCCATTGTGGGGCTCTGATAACTTAGGGACATTGGGCTCCTTGTTCTTTCTTGTCCTCACAAGTATTGTGAATCAGTCTTTGTCTTTTAGGACCAGTCTGCTTGGGGAAACCCATGATGACTTCTGACAGCAGAGCTCCGGGTCAGTCAGGTACACAAACCACCCTGATATAGTTTAGGTTCACAGAGGAGGTTTTCCTTTCATTCATTTATTTTTGTTCAATTTTCTTGTTTATTTTTCAGTAATTTTTCCCAAGTAAGTGCCAGGATGTGCTAATGGGCAGTGTTGATGTAAAATGTTAACACGGTGGTGAAGATTCTCAGTCATCCAGGACATGGTAAATTCAAAAAAGTTCTAGACAAAAACAACTGGACTTAAACCCCTACTGTGAGGCGTGATAGGTCAATCTACATATGTATGTACAGAATGTATGTATGTGTCTTACCTCAGCCTTATAACTTGAACTCCACACTCACTGTTCTTTGAACTGAGAAAGCTTCTTGGATGAGAAGTTTTCTGTTACAAATAAAGTCCAGTTGTTTTTGTTTGAACTTTTTTGAATTTAAAATGTTAACATTTCAATAAAAAGTGTTAAAGTCTTAACACCCAGTTATGCTGTTGTTCAGTAATTCTCACTGTATCACAAAAATCTGTCATTTCAATCATCATTTTCTTCAGGCATATTAATTTTGACCTCACTGGACAGACACACCTGATGATTTCAGGTCTGTTTATGTCTTGAAGTAAAATGTTCCGTTGTATAAAATGTCAAATGAAAAGGTCTGTTGGCTGTAAATGAACTATTTGTTAATGTCTTCTGAATGTGTAATCTTTTCTTCCAGACTGCTTCTTTCTTGGAGTAGCCAATAGAGGATCTTACCTCAACAGTAAATGCACAAAACAAAATATAATATTCCTTATTAAATGAGCTATTACAGCTTATTGTCTTTTAGGGGATAAAAGTTAGTCACTTGGTTAATTTTTAATGCAGCCTATGAATTAAAAACTAAATGTAGATCTCTGCGCTACTACTGTACTGCAGATGAAAAACAAAGCTCAATAAAAACCTTTACATTGATCATTTTTAGTAACACTGAGGTCCTTGAGTTTATTGCTTTATGTTCAATGCAGGATGTGTTGGATAATGAAATTAGCTCAATATATTAAATGATGCCACTGAATTGAGACTTCTGTTTGACTTTATTTATTTCTGTTGTTTTAACAGATGAGTTTTTTTCAGGAATCTCCAAAAACAAGAAGCTCTGATGTGCGAGTAGATTTAGAGAGCGGAAAGTCCAATGAGAAGAAAGAACACAGTGGTGAAGACTGCAGAAGTTTATAGAAAACAATTGACTGTATAGTCCTCACATGCAGTTATTTTGTTATTTGTGACCACACATTCCTTTCCTTTCCTTTGGGGCGACTGTGGCTGAGTGGGGGGCGACTGTGGCTGAGTGGGGGGCGACTGTGGCTGAGTGGTTAGAGCAGTCGTCCTCCAATTCAAGAGTTGGGGGTTCGAATCCACCAGCAGTCACATGTTGAAGTGTCCCTGGGCAAGACACTGAACCCCTCATTGCCTATGATGTGTGTCCCATCAGTGTATGAATGTGATCTAAAGCACTGATTAGTCTCTTTAGAATTATTTGTTGTAGAGATCTAGTAGAGTGCTGTATGAATGGGTAAATGAGGACACAGATTGTAGCGTTAAGCACTTTGAGTATCTCGATAAGATAGAAAGGCGCTATATAAGTACAGTCCATTTACCATTTATCTTTTATTTCCTTTTTATCATCCACAACAATCTGTTGTTAGTGTATGAACCAGCTGACTGCACTCGTTTCTGTTCTGAATATTAATGTGAATTAATAAATGATCCTGTAGGATAGGATAAAACTATAATACTGATTGATGAATATCTAATTACATTTATTACACATCACACTGTTGCTAAAGGAGGCAGAGGAACAACTCTGACCCCCAGGTAAGTGTGCCAAGCTGTTAAAGCCAGTCTGTGGTCCTCAAACGCACCACCTGAACCAAGACATGTATGATGGGGGCGATGCACACAGGAGTAGGCCGGTTACAGTACTGCCACTTGTTTCTCCCAGTTGGAGCAGTGGTGATATAAAGAAAATACAAAAAGCAGTAAAACTTCTACATTCACTGTAATAACAATAAGAGCACAGATATGTCAGAAATTCATCATTTTAATAAGTCACTCAGCTAAAACAGTAACTTTTCATTAAACATCAGAATGACAGAAAACTCTAACACTGTTTTAATGAAACACAAATGCTCCTAAGACTCTAAATGAATTCAAATGTTAAAACTAAATACAGCATAAAATAAATAGTTGAACAAATGTAACCTATAAGATGCTTAACATGAGAATCATTCGCCCTTCATTTATTACAAGTTAAAAACATAATGAGGAAGGATATGTGTGTGTGTGTGTGTGTGTGCGTGCGTGTGTGCGTGTGTGTGTGCGTGCGATGGCTCCAGTGTTTGTCCTTCAGACGTTTTTAGTCACCTAGCATGAAAACCACATGAAGTTAGGTAGCATCCATCACACTCACTGCTCCTCAAGATTCAATATGGTTCATTCACAGCTCATTTTCAGTAAATAAAATAATAATAATAAAATATTTATAAAGCACAACTAAAGACCTAGCTTTCCTCAAAGGAATGGATCTTTTTTTATTTTAGTTTTAGACTAAGACCCTCCTAGAATGAGAAATTATATAGTTACAGCCATTTCGGTAAAATCTTAAGAATACTGTATAGAAAGAAGTCAGATGACATTTTAGTGCTTAAATTGTGTATTAAGAATGACTCTCTACTATTACCTCAAAAAACTTTAGATCAATATATGTACAACTGAGTTAGAGCATTGTTAAAATTTGTTAAAGTTTAGCAATGGCAGCCATCTAGAATGGAATCAACAACAAAAGTTAAAAGTTAGGGGCGGCTGTGGCTGAGTGGTTAGAGCAGTCGTCCTCCAATGCAAGAGTTGGCGGTTCGAATCCACCAGCTGTCACATGCTGAAGTGTCACTGGGCAAGACACTGAACCCCTCATTACCTCCATTGTGTGTCCCATCAGTATATGAATGTGATCTAAAGCACTGATTAGTCTCTTTAGAATGATTTGTTCAATTAGCTTTGTAGAGATCTAGTAGAGTGCTGTGTGAATGGATAAATGAGGACACAGACTGTAGTGTAAAGCGCTTTGAGTATCTTGATCAGATAGAAAGGCGCTATATAAGTATAGTCCATTTACCATTTAGTAGAGTGCTGTATGAATATGTGTGTAGTAAAGTGCTGTATGAATATGTGTGTGTAGAAGAGTGCTATATGAATGTTTGTAGTAGAGTGCTGTATGAATGTGTGTGTGTGTAATAGAGTGCTGTATGAATGAGTGTATGTGTGTGTGTGTGCGTGTCCTTGTTTATGCTGCTTTGTGAGGCCCATTTTTCCAACTTATACTACATTGTGGGGACCAA